CCATCCCAAGAGCAGGGAGGACAGGGAGAGGCCTGGCCATGCGTGGGCCAGCGCTGGGATCTGGGCAGGGCATCAAGGGGTGGCTGCAGGAGAATGGGCTCTGTCCAAGAGCCGCCTCGCTCAGCAACGGCCAAAGCGTGGGTCAGAACCAAAAATAAGTTTGGGGAAGGCGGGGAGAGGATAGAAAACACAGACACAAATGTCCTGGGGAAAGGCAGAGCTGCAAGCCTGGACGCGGGAGGACACAAGCCACAGCCAGCTGTGGCCAGCACAGCCTTGCGTTGGCATTGCCGGCGTGCCCACAGTGCCTGTCTCACCACCAAGTGGGTGGGCTCTTCCTTCCTGCAGCAGTCCTCAACCATAGTGTTGACACTGGCCCACGGCATCTGGGCACTGCTGTGGCACGGTCAGGCTTCTGGGAGCTCCAGCTTGCCTCCTGCTGCAGCTGCAGGGACTCCCGTTGAGACAACACGTTGCCACCTTTCACAGCTTGGGCTCAGAAGAAAACCCCGATTCCTCTTTGTCCCCAGGCTCTACCTCAGCCGAGGGCTTGTCGCTGTGTCCCTCTTCCTTGGGAAAAGGGTAACGTAGATCCAAGTGCTACTGCCCAAAGCCACAAAGCTCAGCTGTTTCTTCTTCGTCTTGACTTCCAGGCTATTGCCGCTTGGCTTTGTACGGGCGGGAGCGTTTCCGACGGTCCGGCTTCCTCTGCTTGTGCAGACGGCCGATGCTGACTCCCTGTCGCCTGCGGACGGAGATGTTCTGCTCCACGAGGCTCGCCAGCATGCCTGTGTGGAGAGAGACGGACACACAGGCCCCGCGCTGAAGTGCTGCTATTGCCCAGGCCAGAGTACAGCCCTCCCTCAATGGGCTCCTCCTGGGACTATAAAATCAGAAGGACATGGAGCAGAGACACGTGGCTCCCCAGACTGAGTGCTGCCTCGTGCCTCAGGGCAGGCAGAACCAGGGAGCAGGGCAGGGTGAGCCTCCTAGGCTTCCAGCTGCCGCTTTGCCACACTCAGAGCAGCTCCCTCGGCTGAATCTGAAGCTCATGCCCCATCCCCTCGAGCACTCAGCACAGCTCACCTTCCTGGGCCAGCATGGAGATGAAGGTACAGATGAACTCGTCGTAGTTGTGGGTTCTCCTCTGGTCGTCAATCTACAAAGAGATGACAAATCCACAAATAATCCACAAACAGGTGGCAGGTAGGAAGGAGAGCTCAAGGTTAATGGGACAAAGAACTGGCATGCCTGGCCCAGCCCACAGGCCAAGGAGACTGCCCAGGAAGGGGCTCAGCTCAGGCCAGTGCACAACTGGGTCTGTCTCCATCCCGGTTCAGATGCAAGTATTTTCCACAAAAGGGCAGCTGGGAAGAGGTGAGAGTGGGCAGGGAGAAGAGTCCTGCCAGGCCTCGGGGCAGAAAGAGCCCCCGTCCTCCTGCCAGTGCTGATGTTCAGGGGTGGCCCAGCTGCCGTGTTCCACCACCCTCCTCAAGCTAGTGCTGCCCAGGGGCTTTGGTCTGTCCTGGCAGGAGCACTGCCCCCGCAGGGCTGTTCGGTAACGGGAAAGGGACTTCAAATGTTCCCCATCACCGTTCCGACAGCTGCACCACCCTCCCTCCACTTTGACATAAAGACACCCAAGACAGAAGCCTTCAGGAAGCTAAACTGGGAATGCAGACAAGCCATCAACAAACACACCTTGAATTTCTTCCTCTTCTCCACCTCTTCCTTCAGGCAGGCCTCGTAGTTTGCAATCTCTGCCTCCACACACTTCAGCAGTGCCAGGAGCTCCTGCCAGGATCAAACAGAGCAAACATGAGCAGACAGACCTCTGCCACAGCCCGGGAGCCAGCAGGGTGAGCTGGTGGGCATTCCTCTCCGCTCTGGGAAACGGACGATTCATCAAAGCAAAAAACACTTGTCAGGGAGAAAAAAAAAAAACAAGACAGAGTTCACCACAGGGCATCTCTGAGTCAGAGGGTGATCAATTAGCCAGCGCTACAGCCCACCCCAGGGCAGCTGGGCTCTGCCCAAGTCACATGTAATGTACCTGGTTCTGAGGGACAGAGGAAGAGCTGCGTGCATGCCAGGGACAGCCCAGGGCCTGGTTCTTCTCAGTAACAACATTTGAAGACTTGCCTTTTGAGTAAAACAATTTCTAGGAAGCTCTCCTCCAGGGAGCCCTTCATGTGCTTGTGCTGCCTGAGCCTGGTCCTCTCTCTGGCTGGAGGGCGCAGAGAGGCAGTAAAGTCACCAGCAGGCTGGGGTTTGGGGGGGCAGGGTCCCACCAGC